AAGTGAGTCTTTGCCCACCAAATCTTATGCTCCAATAAATCTGTTAGTCTATAAGGTGCCACAGAACTTCTCCTTGTTTTTGCATATTTCCCATGTGCAGCTTTTAATGGCTTGTTGATGTTTTAGAATGGTTTGAGGTAACGATAGTGCAGGCCTCACTTAGGTGAATTCAGACAGGAACCAAGAAGAGCAGTGTACACTTGCAAGAAGAGCAACAGTTAATTTAAAGCCCACAGTTTGAAGTGAAGTTCTTTACAGGCCTGTGCATTCCATTGAGGTTTGAGAGATGATACATTCAGTGTTACCAAAATACGATCCTAACATATTCATTTCCTTGATGAGTTAACATCATTATAGCAATAGTTGTTTGCACCACAACTCTTAAGATTAGGTCAGTATTTTTTTTTTAAGTAGCCTCTTTCTGCTAGAGTGGGGTTGCTGCTAAAATTATTTGCATGCAGAAAGTTATGCAAAGTGTCCACAGAGCAATATGTTTCTTTTGCAAATTATAAAAAGCTGTCCTGAAATAGGAGTGAAAATGCATATATTGATTCACAAGTTTTAATTTTTCGAACAGTAGCAGTTTTTTGCCTTATGACAATGTGCAGCCTGAGAATATGAATTCTTGATTTTAGTTAATTATTTGCATAGTTTAGGATAGGAGAATAATTGGAGGGGGAGGGAGGTGAAGCAATTATTTCATTTGTAAATACAATATACTAACCTGTCTGTTAATGTGCCCCTGCAGCAGCCAGATTGAGAAGCACTGCTATAAGTTAGCTGTTGTTTCGATTCAGTTATTTTAAGTCAAAATCATACTTTCTGATAGAGTTTTGAAAAAGTTTAGGTTTAAAGAATGTGTAAATCTATACAGTAATACAGTGATTAAACTAGGCATAGGTTGCTGCTATTTTTGTCTCAAGAATATATATTTTGTAAGATTCTGAATGTGTTTTAAATTAATCTGTACAAAAAAAGTGTGATTTTTTTTTTTTTAAAATAGGGAATACTCGTTTTAAATACAAATTTATGGCCCAGTACTGCTTGTGCTGAAATTAACAGTAAAACTCATATTGGAAGCAGGAGCAAGACTTTTAGAAAATGACATTTTGTCCTTGATTCAAGTTTATTTTAGGATTGGGAGAGAAGCATTAAATGAAAGTGCAACCGTAAACAATGTAACAAATCTAAAATTCAAACCCTAATTTTGATTATAACATGGTAAAACATTTCCTTGGCACATACTAAGTAAGAATTGTTTACGGCCATCAATGGCAGATTTATGCATTTTAATAAATGTGTATTAGCCTAGTAAATACAGTTTTGGTTAGTAAATACAATTTTGGTGTGTGTGTTGTTTAGACAATAGGCAATAATGGCAACCTTGGAGATTTTATTTTAATCACAAAAGAAAGGAGTGGAACATTTCCAATATTATTATTCTTTATGGTATTAAAATTGTATGTTAATAAAATTATGGACAAGTCTTCACTAAGCTAATCTCAGGGTTCTTGAAATTGTTGTTACTCAATAATACTAACCGTTTGGGATTAATGGTTCATTTCTGGACAAATTTTTAATTATAGATAATAAACACATAATGGACATCATTTCTGTTTTACCCCAAGCACATGAAAAATTACCCAAACAGCAATCTATTGAAAAACCAAAACAAAATAAAAATGCATCTGCTTGTAAAGGATAGTTTGGGTGGAATTTTACTCTAGTTGATTAGTAAAGGTAGAACAAATATGTTGCAAAGAGTTGCCCACCATTAAGGCTTCATCATCCATGCTTTAAATGATATAGCATATGCACATCCAGATGCATGTTTGATAGCTCCCTGAAAATATCTGCTCATTATGCAGTAGCAGTCAAAAAAGCTAACTATGTTAGGAAATGTTTGTAAAGGGAAAAATAATAAAATACTATGTCACTGTATAAATCCACAGTGCGCTCTCACCTTGAATATTGTGTGCAGTTCTGGTTACTTCATCTTAAAAGAAAAATCCTTAGAATTGGAAAAGGTGTAGAGAAGAGCAATGAAAATAATTAGGGGGTATGAAACAGCTTCCATATGGAAAGATTAGGATTGATTGTCTTAGAGAGATGACTAAGGAGGGATAAAATTGAGTGAGCTGGAGAAAAAGAAAAGGGGTGTGTTGTTTGTTTGTTCTCTCCTCCCCTCCCCCAGAACTAAGGGTTACCCAGTGAAATTAATAAGCAGCTTAAAACAAAAAAGGAGGTACTTGACGCAGTCCCAGTGCTTAGTTAACCTGTGGCATTCATTGCTATGGAATGATGTGAAGGCAAAAAAGTAAGTTTGTTAAATAAACTTGTACATGATAGCTCTATCAGTGGCTGTTAACCAAAATGAGCAGGAGTGTTCCTAACCCTCTGACTGTCAGAAGCTGAGAATGGACAACAGAGCGTGAATCTCTCAAAATTGCTATGGATCTTTCGAAATTGCCTTGTACTGTTTATTCTCCCTGAAACAACTGCCACTGTCAGAAGACAGGATACTGGACTAGATAAACCATTTGTGAGATCTATTCCTTGCTCTTTTTTTAAAAAAACAGAGTTTATTGGAATAATTTTAGAGGAGGAAAAAGTGTATGCTGTCTTTTACACTAGTATTTGTAATACTGTGTTGTTATGTATTGGTATTTAAGCAGATTTACATGCAAGTAATAGTAATTTTGCTTTTGTCGGGAGCAACAACTATAATTTTGCAATCTTAACTGTTCCAGAACTACCTCCCCCCTCGCGCTCTCTCTTATCTAAGCTTGAGCTTAACCCAAAGGTTGAACTTTTATGGAAGATTTTAGGAAGTTGCAATCAATCATTTGTGAATTCAACAAGGATGGAAAAAGAGTAACTTTCCACTTGGAAAAAATTCTATCTGTAGTTGTTTAAAAAATACTACTTGTATGTATATTGAATATTGAATGTAGTTATTAGAACTGGAAGAAGAAATGTCAAATAATTTTATAGGTTAATTCCTACTTTACTGAAGTTGTTGGTTTCCGCAGAAGTGTGAAATTTGAATTCTCATTAGACACCTGACCAGGATAGTTAACCTGCACATCACATTTTGTGTTCTGAAATGCAGATTTTGTCTCCTTCATAGGTCTTAAATATAGCAGTAGTTTTTTAAGAAATATTGAACATACAGCTTAAATAGCTATGAATGAATAGCAGTTTACTTTAATAAATATGCCTTTTTTACAAGAGAGAAATTTTGGCTGTTTAAAACTTTAAAAACTACTGCAGTCTTAATTTTCTTTATAGATCTGCATAATAAAATACTTTAAAAATAATGTAACAGGTATTTGTGTGTCTGCATTCAAATACTCCTGAGGTTTTAACCAGTGTAATGCGTTTAGTAAGCAAGTATAATCTTTAACTAGTTGTTGGATTTTGAACAATTTGCAATAAGCAATTCTTTGGATTTTATTTAACCAACTGATCATTTCAGAAGTGATTGTAATATATAGCTAACAAATTAATATCTCTTCCAAATTAGAAATTCCATTGTGGCTTCCTCCTAAACCCTTTGTATCCTCTTAAATTTGTATTGAGAAGATTCTGTTAATCTTAAAAATTTAGTGTGACATTTGGAATTATTTGCTTTGCAAAGTTTAGATGGCAATTAAGCATGGCAGGCAGAGACTGAGATAGGTGGAAAGAGTAATATTGAAATGATGATGTTCTCCACTGATTCTCCCTCTGTCTGACCTTTGTTTCCAAGCAATCACTGATGGCAGTAATATAATAATCCCTCTTAAAACATAACTTGGAGTTTGTCTGGTATTCTCCCACACTTCATCCTGCTGTTTCCTGTTGTTTTTGCCACCCTTGGGTTTTCTTTATGCCTTGCAGAATTCTACCTTCACTCAATATAGTCACACAGCCTCTTCACCCATCACTTCTGATCATACCACTCAGTTTTGTATTTTCATCCTTCTTAGAACTCCATTTGTGGAATAGTTTACATCATCTGGTATCTGTGCAAGTAGCTAGTGTATGATTTAGATTGAAATGCATGATTGACTGTTTTTCTTCACATTTCATATAAGCCTAGGAGTTGCTAGGAAGAGTTCCATAATAAGACCTCAAAATCAGTAATTTCTTTATATGTGCTTGAAACTTTGCATGTAGAAAGACTAGTGATGCGGAGTGTGTATCTAGGTTTGGGGGAATTTCAGAGTAAAGGAGCAACTGAAAAACTTTCTGAACTTTAAGTAGTGTCTAAGATTTTTCTCAGAGCCTAATGAAGCCTCATCTTCATACAAGACAACGTAAGAAGTCTGTATTTGAAAGAGGTAGCAGGTAGGGCTGAGACCATGGAGATGAGAAGATTGTTTCAGTGAGGCTACATCGTGCAGAAAAATCTTCTTAAAAAGCATATTTTAGCTGATTCTGTAAGTCCAAACTTTCACT